CAAATATATATGTGTGTGTGTGTGTGTACATTTTAACAACGTATGCATTTAAAATGTCATTTTTAAAGTAGATGTACTTTAAAAAAGTATTTTTTTAAAATAGATATTTGTTTAATTAAAATAATATATTATTTAGTAATGGAATTTTTCACTGATGATACTTTGTCTCAGTTTTTAAAACTTATGACTCTGGAAAAATCTGTGTTTTTTTCTCATAATCAAATTAAATTAATTAAAATAAATTCTACACTTTTAATAACTGTAAAGTTTCTTAAAAAAAATTTCGCATACACTTAACCCATCAGGGTAAACGAGGTATGCAATTTCATATCATTTCAGCATTTTCCGCTTATTCGCATTTAAAAAAGACAGTTTGTGTTTTTTTATACCATTATTTAACTTTTTCAAAAACATGGGCGTTTTGTTGACAGACTTACTTTTGCAGAAGATTATTTTCTCATAAACTGGAAAAAAACTTGCTAACTAACACAACTAACATAAACTAGGTATGATTTTGTACTATTTCAATATTTAGTCATTTGCAACTGATACAATTTTTAGTCAAATTCTTACCATTTCCCTTTTATTTGAAAAGGAGATTTATTTGACGAAATTGACGACAGTCGTTCTGTTTAGCGAAACCCTCTTTCACTTTCTAAAATGAGTTATCAAATTTTTGAGATGTTTTCCGTTGCTTTGCATAGTATTATTTCTAAACACTTCTATTAGTATTATTACTGATGTATCACAATTCAAATAGAATAAAGACTATTGCACACTTCATTAATGCTACTTGTCAGTTATTATTATTTAGAAATGAATTATAGCGTTGCTGCTAGAGGGCTAGTATTGGTGCTTTAGACATACCGTTCGTAGCATCTTTGTACATAACATAATACTGAAGATTCATTTAAATGACGAGGGAACACAGTCAACAGGATATTACGTTCTGCCTTCTAGTATTGTGAAAGATTGAATTTGCAGTGTATCTACCACTACAAAAAATACAATTCCAATTCACTAGTACAGTGTTCTAGAATCTTTTTATCACCGCAGACCTGTCAAAGTTTGATAATTTTACTGCGGCCCGGTGGGGGGGGGGTATATTTTTGATTTATTATTTTAATTTAATTGTATTTAAACATGCCTTCAAAATAAAATACAGTTACAGCAAAAAATAAGTATAAAGTTATTTAACATTTTAAATTACTAGAACGTTAAATCAATTACTTACGATCGAGAGAGAAGACTATGTTCTTAATTAGTTCCAATTTAAATTTCGCACCGTGTTTTTGCGTTTTATTTATGATATTTACAGTTATGATGATTTTTGATTTTACAGTTTGATTTTTTATTTTATTCAAACTATTTGAAAGAGAAAGTAGTTGCCGTGGTTTTATTTTTTTTTAATTGTAAACATCAAAAAATTAAAGCCACTATGATCGGGGGCCCCTTATTTTTAAATAAGTAAAGTCTTAATGGAACACAAATATTTTTAATTTGTGGTATAAACCTAGGAATTTAAATTCAATTTCAATGAAATGGGCGGCCCGGTACTATTTGACCCACGGACCGGTACCGGTCCGCGGGTGAACACTGCACTAGTATATAAGACATACTAACTCGAGTCTATGTCTGGGGTACCTTTTCATAGATGAAGGTTGACGTCGTCGATAACTCCTCTCCCCACATTTGTAGTGTATGTATCTTGTAGTGCATCTACCACTACAAAAAATACAATTCCAATTCACTAGTATATAAGACATGTTAACTCGATTTCATGTTGGGTTACCTTTTCATAGATGAAGGTTGACATCGTCGAATTCTANATATACTATAAAACTGGAATTGTATTCTTGTAGTGGTAAATACACTACAGTACTTCCCCATCAGAATTATATCTGTGATGTAATTCGATGAACGGATACCACTAGTTGATTCATTGCAGGTTCAGATCACTTCTGGGTCACTAATGTGGGGATGCATTTATCGACAATGTCAACCTTCATCTATGAAAAAGTACCCTGCCATGGAATCGAGTTAGTATGTCTAACATACTGGGAAACTGGAACTGTATTTTTGTAGTGGTAGATAAACTACAAATTTATGAATTTGATGGAGATTTCGCATAGTTACGTTGGTCTCTACAAGCCCCAGATTTAAATTCTATAGAGCATTGGTAACATGAAAATTTATTTGCAACCTTACATGGGGAGCTAGACCCATTCAGTCATACACTCTTGGAACGTGCTTCAGACAGTATATTAAAACCTCGATGAGTTTCATCAAATGGTTACCAGGTTTATATTAAAAAAATGCTAAACTAAAACATTGTGTATGCTATAACTACACATTGATGATATTTTGTATTTTATTTTAATTCAACTAAGAAACTTATGTATTTTCTCAATTCAAGGCATGGATTGAATTGAGTAGTTTCTTGTTGAACTTTAGTTACTTAAAGTATAAAAGAATGTTTTCCAAATCGAACTATTTTTTCACATTTAAATTTCTATCACTTACAATCAATTCAGAAATAATTTAATAATAAACTGCAGTTATTCAGCTGCATAATTAATTTTTGATTATAATAATCGTGTACTAAGTAATTAAAATTACTTCTTTTTTTTTTCAAGACAAGAAAGTTGTGGGATTCGGGAAACTAGTTTGCCGAATTTGTACTAACAGCTCCCTAAATAGTACCATTCTCAAACATATTGACCACATATGTTTAAGTAAATAAGTAGATCACGTGTAACTTTTAAAATAACTAAATTTCTTAACTATTAAAATTACAACAGCAGTGTTATTCAGCCTATAAAATATTAATGGAACATATCATTACCTGCCATAAGGTTCAAGCTGCTTACTAAGATTACATCTTTTTGGGACCTATAACCAATTTTCTTAGGTTTTAATAAATGGGAAAATTGCTTCGATTGAATTTTTCAACATCATCATCACCCAACCGTTATCAAGCACCTAGTTTCATTTTCAGGGCTCTATCTTAGAAATTTCATGGTGAGACTGCCATCAAATTTTAACCTGTTGTTGTTGTTGCTGCTTATCGCCTTGGTCTAGAGCCCTTGATCAAGTCCAGAAGATCATTTCGCATCAGAAAGTCATAGTCTCTCCATCACTCATCAGTTGTCTCACAGAGGCACCAATGCAATCCAAAAGATGAGATGGAGAAGCGATGGCCGAGCAATGACAATAGGCATGAGTCTTTTCTTTCACTAAAAATTTTAACCTTCATCAGATGACATGGATAGCGCCTCATCCGATACCCCTCACTCCAAAAATCCACACCACAACCAACGATATGACTTTTAGCCACGAAAGATTAAGCTCTTACCTTTCTGTGTATATACGCTTGCTGTTCAGTCTCTCTTCGGGATCGAACTGACAATCTCCATCTCTCCGAACAGTGGTGCAAGTTGAATTTTTCAACATAGAAACTTCAGGAAGAGATTGGCTTATTAACTCAATTTAGCTTATTGACTATAGTTTAGTTTATTAATCAGTTTATTAACTCAATTAGCTAAACAATAATTACTAGTCATTACTTGACTAACCAGATGACTTATCACTTTGATATTTTTCTTCACTTTTAATTAAATAAGGAAAATAAAAATCTTATCATAAGGTTATCATTAAATCCACTGGGATAGTTTCGTTTCTCTTCGATTTATTTACGTATAGATTGAGGTTTTCGGCTGCTGTCAAAAAGTTAGTTTAATTAAAAACTGACGTACCAGAATTGTTGATTGCTCTTAAGCAGAGTTCTCAATTGTTCCAGTCTCATGAAAATCTTCAAACACGAGTTGAAAGACTTGATATAGTGTGAAATTTAGTTCAAAAGTAGTTTTTAGCAATTTCAGACAGTTTAAGTGTAGTAAAGTTTTAATGGCTGAAAATTTGACCAGTTAAGTAACTGAAATCGATACGTTGCTCCTAAATCGTATTAGTCTTTAGAACTGTATACGAAATATAATATAGGCAACTAAGTAACGTTTTAACTGCAGTGTTATTTCCATCATCAAGCAATAATTAGCTAGGAATGAAATGAATAGAACATAATAGAATAAATTTCTTAAAAATCATATAATGGATAATACTTGATTAATTACTTTTGTAAGTAGGTACTTTATTTACGTCGCACTAGAGCTGCACATTAGGCTATTGGCGACAGTCTGGGAAACATCCCTGAGGATGATATGAGGACATGCAATTTCGATTCTCTGCAGAGGAGATGCCTTCCCTTCTTTGATTGCCCGATGTCCTGCGTGAATACTAGAACTTTACGATAAAACAGCTTACCTAGGACCGATATCGCGTACTCTCTACTCCAACGCAGGCTGATCAAAGTGGTCAGTCACCTGCTTACTGACTGCAGCCAGTGATGCTTGACTTCGGCGTTCTGCTGGAAACCGTGTCTTTACAAATAAGTCCACTTCGGGGCACATTTTATTAGTATTTTGTTATATTCTAACACATAATGCCCAAAAGTTACATTAAAAAATTGAAAAACCAATTAACTCAAAGAAAAACTTAACGTAAGTACACAGCGAATTGCGTCTTCTGAATGATTTTCCATGTTTAAAAAGCTTTCTAATTTATCCGCTAGAGTGCTCCGTATATAATGCATCTTTAGATCTCAAAGGTGGTGCGGTTATGGAATGGCATGATTTAGGCAGCCCTTCCATTTTCTTCACAGTTATTTTGCATTTTTATAAAATAAATATTTCAGTTTAATTATTATACAGTAACTCCAAGATTTTTTTTTAATGTAGTCAAACCAAACATTTAAAAAAAATTTAGTAGTAAATTTTTACCAACCACTGATATAATACGAAAATGTTTAGTCTATATCGCGTAAGTGATACTATTAATAATATAGAAACTCAAAATAGGTTAATATAAACTGACTAGTGTTGTTAGTTAATTTCATGAATAATTCTATCAACACCTATCATTGTACTAATTTAAGAGTCAAATAATACAACAGGAAAATCACAACTTTATTATAGAAGTCAAAAATACAAATATTTCCACTTGTACATATAGATTACAAAAATACTGGTTCTTTGCATAACACAGGAATCAAAAATGTTGGATATTAAGGTTGATTCTTAATTATGCGGATATGGTATTCTGAAAAGAACAAAAAAAGAAACATGAAAGAATTAATGATTCGAATCCTTCAAAAGAGAGTAAATGTAAATAAAATTTAATTTTTAATTTGAGTGTTAATTTATTTATCAAAATTTAAATTTTTAGACAATCATCATTTTTAGTATAAGTGAACATTGTCAGTCTTCAAATATTCAAATATAAATTATTCTTCATATTAACTCCGTGTTTAACTTTACGTTTCATTTTGTTTCACAGCGCAAAAATTGAACGACTTAAAAACTTGAAATTAAGAGTATGTGTAGAAAATTTTCTGGGACAGCGCTGAAAGAAAAAAAACAACACATGATGATTAGTTAAATGTTAGTTTTGAAAAATAAAAAAATTACGAAAATTTAAAAAAGACCAAAGAGAAATTCTTGCCTTAATTAGTGTTCTAATGTAAAGTAATAGTTACGTATCACTAACGAGTAAAATTAAATTTCTTTTAAATTTTTAAGTGTTATTTTTTGTTACATCAAATTTTCTGTTTTTCTCTCAGTTTATTTTTTTTCAAGCACAAGATCATTTCACAAATCCTGCTAATTATTAATTCCGTTACGATTAGTATATAACAAAATAAATTTTCATGAAATTATGTACG